ACAAATTAGTGGACACTCATATATATATAAGAAAGAGGTTTATATACAAGATCAATTGAATATTGAGAAAATGCTCCAGATCAAGTCCATAAGTCCAATAGTAGCCCATATGTCTGATATCAACCTATAAAGTCCTCTTCAGACTCACGAAACACATGCAATGATGTCAAATGCAGGAGAATCACAGGCTGGTGGGTTTGGACATCTTGTGGATCCAGTGGAATTGTAAGCATCTCAGCGCTGGCAGGAGTCTCACATGGCTTCTCTGGCTCCAGAGCTCTGGTTGCATCAGGGTAGATCCATTTGACTTCTCCACCTCCCAGTGCTTTGGGATCATTGATATCATTAGTAATACTATATGAAAATAATGAGGCAAGTGAATTTGATTCTGATCAAAACAACAGTAGCTGATGCACACATACCATTTAATCTATGTTCCCGACTTTGGAAATTTCACTGTATAATGCCTTTGTACTCAATGCATTGACTTGCTAAAGTTGCTAAATATTTTTCTAATCATTTCAGTAATTTTTTTAATTTAAATTATTTTATTCGGGGCTCATACAACTCTTATCACAATCCATATATACATCCATTGTGTGAAGCACATTTGTACATTTGTTGCCCTCCTCATTCTCAAAACATTTGCTTTCCACTTGAGCCCTTGGTATCAGTTCCTCATTTTTCCTCTCCCTCCCTGTGCCCCCATCCCTCATGAACCTTTGATAATTTATAAATTATTATTATTTTATCTTATCTTACACTGCCAGACGTCTTCCTTCACCCACTTTTATGTTTTCTATCCCCCAGGGAGGAGGTTATATGTATATCCTTGTAATCAGTTCCCCATTCTACCCCACCTTCCCTCCACCCTCCCAGTATCACCAGCATCTCACAATCGATTTCTGCAAGAGCTACATGACTTTGACAAAGTTTCACAATTATTTCAGGTTTTATTTTGTTGTATCAATAAAATTAAATTGTTTTACAAATAACAATGGACCAGAACTGTCATACCTGAAGGTTCACATTTCTATTTTAAGCATACCCTTATAGCATGCAGTGCTAAACATAAACTACACCCAAACTAGCAATTGAAAACATGCCCCTTTATAAGAAATGTTAATAACTCACTACATTTTTGCTTTTTCCTATGCTTGTTTGTTTTTGTGAGAGAAAAAAACTAGAGCTATGTTCTACCTTACATTTCTACTTGGATATCAGATATTCAATTTCTGTCAGACTTCTGAAATTTGCAGCTTATCTAAAAAACAAACAAACAAACAAACAAACAAACAAAAACCTCAGCTGAATCGTTAAGAATGAGCATGTTAAACATGATTTGGGTTATGTACTGCTTGCTTTTAACCTGGAAGATTTTTTGCTATAAACAAAGTGGACTTTGCTTTAAGTAACATGGACCCAATTTCTTGCCTGCCATTACATTATGGCTGTGACAATGAGACAGAGAGCCCTACTTAACAACAAGGCTCACTCTTGACACATGAAGGCCATTACAGAGGGTCGGGAAAGCACCATACCAAGAACTCAGCAACCACCTTCAAAAGAAACAGTTCAGTCCTATGTTTTTAATGTGAATAGTATGGTTCTTACGGCCATCGGACAGTCCTCGACAGTCAGGACTTGACAGCAGGACATGGAATGCACGAGTGGTTGACATGCAGGAAAGACGGTTCAGAGTCTGAGAGAGGAAAGCTTCTACTTAATGGATTCATTTTCTAACTCCTTAGGGATATTGGTTGTTTTATGACTGCAGAGTGCGGAGGGATTTGACTGTACCACGTTTCCCTAGGGTCTGATCATTAGATGGTTACCTAATTAGGACCCACCACATTCTTGCCTATGTTCTATTTGCACCACGGATGCTCTCGTTTCGTAGATCATTCACAACCTGCAGCAATTACACAGTGGCAAATGACCTTATGTGATAATTACACTAATATATCTGTATTATTTCACTGGGAGAAGACTTTAGAGAAATGAGGTGTCTGGCATGTACACAGAATAGTTGTGATTGCATTTCTCCCTCAAAAGTAATATAAGGCTAGTAGAAATATAATGTTTGGGCCTGAGAATGGCATCCAAGTTCCAATATGATGAAATTCTTGGGTAAGAATTTCCCTCTAGAACAAATAGAAAGTTATCACCAATATCTCAGTCTTGTTCTTTTTATTGAATAAACAGTATCTCCATTTATCAATTAGAAATGGTATATTAATAAATTAATGTCCAGGAAAAAAAGAAGGTGACTATTTCCTCTGGACACTGCTTGAAAACCACATATGTCCTCACTGCCATTGAGTCAATGCTGACTCTCAGCAGCCCTGCAGGACAGGGTAGAACTGTCCCTGTCACTGTGAGATGGTGACTCTTTGCAGGAGTAGAAAGCCCCATCTTCCTCCCAGGGAACGACTGGTGGCTTCGAACTGCTGACCTGACAGCAACCCTACACCAGCAGGGCTCCTTAGTTATGGAGCACTGGTCACAAAGTTCTATGAATAATATAAGATATGGTCATCATCCTAATTATGGTTGCAAGTCAAACTGGTAGCAATTTTCCAAGGAAATGTACACTCATGAAAGGATAATATTACAAAAGAGACAAAAATAAATGGTCAGTGATGGTGTCTTCCCTCCTCTTTCTTATTTTAATGCAATGAGATAGGTTAAGAAGGTATATTGAGCTATATTGAGGTATCTCATACACTGAGATACCCATGAAAGATTTGTATCACATGAACCCACAAATAATATAATACAAAAAGTATAGCTAAACATATATAGATAAAACTTATTTGTGCACTTAACCTGACTTCACCACCTTCTCAATTTCAGTGTCAGAAATAGAAGAAATTATGTCAAAAAGTATTGCCACAAAAATCATAGAAACCTTTATTTTAAACAATGACAACACGTGAAGCTATTGTTTCTATACATATCTTCCATCTAGGTCTGAGCATTAGATGGTTACCTAATTAGCACCCAGCACATTCTTACCTATGTTCTTTTGTCCTTTCGTCTAACCATTTCTTTTCTTTATTTTTTTTTTAAGCAAAAGGGAAGATATTTATTGGAGCATATATGGGAAGCCCTAGAGGGGTCCAGCAACCCCTACTGCGTAGGCATGCCCAGCAAAGGGTCACACCATTAACTGTACCCCCATGTCCCAAAGGGACTCTCCTTGAGCGAGCCCCAAAGCCCCAGGACTGGCTGGGGGTGGGGATTTGTCTAACCATTTCTAAAGGATCCTGGACTCTTTGATTTATACCACATCAAGACAACAGTTTTGGCATTTTTGAGGGCTTTAAAAATTCCATTTTTAAATATTGAGTTTGGGGAACACAAAGAAGGCTGATGAGGTAGGATCAGGGCCAGAGAGCGGAAGGAGTAAGATTTCTCAAAGAAGCGCTCATAGAACCGCCCCCGCTGCCTTCAGAAAGCGGCACCTGGTCCTGGTGGGAAAGCATTACTCAGGGCAGCTTTCTGGGCTTTTCCTCGCCAATGCAGGTTTTCATTTTTGTGTAAGTTCTTTCAAATAATCCCCCCTGCTTTTCTTATATCCCTTCAGAAAATATATCAATATGATCCTCTTGGAATCCCGAAAAATGGTCCGCCACAGCCTTCTGAGCCGACCTCTCTGTCTGGACTTGAACTGCTCCAACAGATTGTTTCTGACGTCACTGTTTTACATCCTAATGAGAATAAGAGAATGTATTACTGAGAGAACTTGTCTGCAGTCATCCACCGATTACAGAGGCAAGTTTAAATCCATTTTATTTGGAATAGACCCAGATGTGTATGAATTGGAACCTTAGTACAATACTTTTTTGACTTACCCTCAGAATCACGACCTGCACTTGGATCTATTGCAGAAGTAGATTACAACATTGAGACTTACTCTCACTCCATTTCTTAAATGAAGGTTTCTATATTAATACAGTGCAATCATTCGACTTCTATAGAAGTCTGGTCTACAGAAAACATTCGTAGCATCCACTGATGAGATTTTCAGAGAACTGGCTGTCTCCATTTTTACTTTGTGCTGATCAGAAATTTAAAAATGAGACATTGAAAGATTGTTTTGTAATTTAAATAATTTTCAATTGGTTAAAACAATAATTAAAATAATAAAAGCCATAGTGTAAAGAAAGTCCTAGTTTTATAGTTTGGAAAGAAAGATGTGCTCTAATCCTTGTAGTTGTTTCAGTGTCCTTGAAATATTTATACAAGAAAAGCTATGTTTATCCTGTGGTGGTTTCCCCTCCACAATTCCATAATATCCATCCTACCCATTGGGATTCTGTGTTATTTGTTTCTATCTCAACTTGAAAGTTACTTGGCTAACAAAGGTAAGAATATAAGTTTCAGAGGAATCACAGAAGAAAATGAAAAAGAAATGTGATAAAGGGCCTGGAGGTAGACATAGTTGACCCTGTCTGGCTTCCCTTTTACCACAAGGCAGTGTAGGACAAGCCTCCATCTGCCTTTACCAGTTCTGACACCAACTCTTCTACCCATGCCACTCTCTCTATATATTTGGTTTGATTATCCATTGTAATGGCCACACAGAACTCATAGACAATGCTGAAGGTTAAGGGGGTTATTAGGGAAGCTGATAGGGTACTACAAGTCAGGATCAGGAAACAGTAAGGATGTAGTCATTGGCCTCCGCAGCCAGCAGCTTGGTCTCCCTCTGATTCTCAGCCTCTTATCCAAGCAGTCTCTGCGTGACTTTTGCCTCAGTAGGGCAGGAGGCCAGTCTGCTGTGATTCTGTTTCACAGTTCTTGGGCCAGATAAGGAAAAGGTACCCCACAGTCTCAGTTCTGCTCCTCTGAGTCTTTGTACCATAGACTCTGAATCTTTGTACCATTGGAACGTCTTGGGGTCCTCTGCTCAGAGATCTTCTTCAAAAATTGTCCTGGACTTTTTCTGTTGCTTTAAAAAAGTGACTTTGTTTTTTCTTTATTTAATTTAAAAACAGGGGAGAGTGGGAACGCAGTCCCCCACTACCACAAATTATGCAGTTGAATTTCCCACATCTGGGGAGATTGCAGGGGCCAGTGCATCTGGAGCGCAATGGATGGGCCTCGCCCTGGGAAAACCACCTTCGTGATCATGGTATAAAAAAAAAGTGACATTCTTATAAGTGGAATGTCATCATGAAAACTGAGCAATCATCCCCACTCTTAGTGTCCTCTCTCAATCCCCTTTGCTGCTTGCAAGATTGTGGACCCAAGCAAGAACAAAATCTTTGACAATTTCAATCTTTTCCCCATTTGCCATGATGTTCCCTAAGGTCCGCTTGTGAGGACTTTGGTTTTCTTGACCTGGAGTTGTAGTCTGTCCTGTAGGCTGCGGTCCTTGGTCCTCATCAGTACGTGTTTCAAGTCCTCCCTCTAATGTAGCAAAGCCCTTTTAGCTCATGCTACTCCCGGGGAAACCTCAATCCGGGGACACTCAGCCCCAGCTTGGTGGGTCCGTAAAACCAGGCCCCCCTGTTAAGTGTCCAGAGGCCTTTGTTTCTTTCTTGAACACACATATTGTTAGTGATGGCTGTACATATGCTTTAGGATGGTCATCACGGCCGACAGGCTGCCTGGCAACTTTTTCTCTCCCCCTTCGCAGCCGTGTGTCTCCTTACAAACATTTTCTTCCAGGCTTGCTTTCTTGGACACTGGGTGATTTAGGCACGCTCACTCCTACAGGGTCGATCTAAACTTTGCTTCTTTTGTAAATCTCACTGTTTTTGATTTTAGATTCTGTTATGGTAGCATCATGGGACTTCCTCCTCTCTCCTCTCCGGCCCAACTAGTTGACATCTGACAGAATCAAGAATTGCATTATTTCACTTTCTTCTCATCATCACTATTGTTATTTTATTGGACTTTTTTTTCCCTTTTTTAAACCACACATTGTTCTTCTCTGTTCAAGGCTTGGCATTCTGCACTCTGAGTAATACGCAAGCAGAATGAAATGAGGTATTGGGGCCACACTGTGCCAAAATGAAATGCTTGCCCCTTCTAATCAGTGCAGTTAAATAAGACAGACTTTGTTGAATATCTTATTATAAAGCATTCCTAAGTACACATTTTAAATGTAGTGAAAGGAGTAAACAATTGGAGTACTGTAAGTTGTTCCATAGTATAAAACTGATTAACACATTGAAACTACTTCAAGTACAATTCCCTTTTAGAGAACAAATGTGGTTCTTCTTCATTAGCAAAGCCTCCGCCCTTGCTATGTCACATTTTGGGAAACAGAGAATCTTAATTCAGGCACTTTTTTTTTTCATTTGATATTCCTTGCCTCTTTCTTTTGTTTGACAACCATAGTTGAGTTAATCGGCTACAGTAACTCAAACAGACTTCTATTAGCCTTGCTAATCATGCAAATACCATTTTTCAAAGCCACCCTGCATTTTAATGTCAAGTGTTCTCCCTTGTGTTGGTGGAAGGTGGGGGGAAGAGGGGTGGTGGGGAGAATGACAACTTAAAGGAAAATGATAATAAAGCCAGCTTGAGTAATCTAGCTTGTTGGGTGCCCAGTGGGCTGGCTTGCAGTGGGAAGTGACACCCAGTAATGGGCAGGAATTAGCACATAGATGTTAATGCCTGCTACTTGGTGGTGTAAGTGTCCTGACTGCCACACACAAGATTGGGGATATTGAGTGAGCAACTTACATTCCTTAAACCCTCAAATTCATTCTTGCTAAGATGGGGTAATGATAACTCTACTTTCCAGGACTGAAAAGCCTAAATGTTATTTTATTTTATTTTAGCATTTGCAAAACACTTAATAGTAGTTCTTATTGCTGACGTGCTGCCTCTACTGTCATTATTGTTGGCGGTGCCATTAGAGAAAAAGAAAACCCAGGGAGCTTTGAACATGTGTGACCAGGCTTGATGAGGACGGTTCCAAGGCTGCAATCTAGCCTGATTACCATGAAGACAGTTCACTAAAAGGCTTAAAGAGAAGGACATGCGTTATATCACACATTTGTCTCTTCCTAGTATCTATCCATATCTACTCTTTTAATTTTGATGAACAATTTAAATAACAAGTAGGTTCAAAACACTTTTTAAGAAAAGACAAACATAAAATGCAGCTTGAGAATTATTGTTAGGAAGAACCTGTACTACAATTAAACGCACATATAAAAACATTAATTTTGACCATTTTTTTCTTTTGTTCTGAATTTCTGTTTGCTCCACTAGAGAAAAATAACCCTAGTTATTTTTTGACCTATGAAAATGCCACAAGTAGAATGGGACAGCATAATTTTCCCCGCTGAGGTTCAAGAATTTATTTATTCTGATACAACAATAAATCAACTGACAAAATGGAATGTCTTTGCACTACATATGCAGCAAGTTAGGTTGCGTGGACAAGTTCAGATTCAGTTTATGTATTAAAACGGAAACATTTTATTGTAAAGGAATTGTGCATAGAAACTACTTAAAAAGGGACTGCTAGTGAAAGATGATAATACAAGATTAACTATAGAAGTTAAAATGTGATCTTTGAAACCTTGGAAATATATACCTACCATATCAAACAGCAATGGACACAGGGTAAGTATAAAAGATTGCTGATTTAATTAATCTTGCTAACACGTATTTCCTTGTAGAGAGTAGTGTGCTAAAACTTATATGAACTGGCATTGTGTTGTATTTATTTTCAGTGTAAATTGAGTGTTTGAATCTAAAAAATCCATTTTCGGCATCAAATGCACTACCACTTTATGTCATCCCATGTTTGGAAAACCCCATAACCAGCTCCGTCTCTTCAGGAGACGAACGCCAACTTTGTAGTTATAGACAAGACACAAACGTTCAGCCAGCTCATATTTTCCTATAGCTTCTCTTTCTAGTTCAGTCTGCAAACTAATTTGGATTAAACTAAAACAGACTTTTGCTCCAAGCATTTTGAAAGTTTAAAGAGTTTGGCTAATTTTGGTTGTCTTTTCAAAACATTTCTTATATGGCTTCATGTCTGTGTCCTGGAAGGAGACCAATATGTGTTTAAATCTTCTAAAAAGTTGCTCTTTTCTCCTGCCCAGGCTTCTGAGAGGCAGCAAATACATTGAAGTTGTAAGACTTTCTGGCTGCTTTTACCAAATGAAATGCTGGACAAATTTATTGCCCCTAGAACTCAGAGCAATTGAGGGACAATGCAGAATGTGTATTTGAAGCATAGTATAATTTTTCAGATATTATCAAACTTAGTAGTTATGTAGATCATTTCCTACAAAAAAAAAAAGAACAGAAAGTTCACTTTAAGCCCTTTCTCATCTTTATTTCTTCTTTTATACTCACAATGACTTTATTTCTTGCTAGTTGAACCTGGAAGCAGACTTCTAATTTCTAGTTTAAATTCTGTGCTATCATTGGTACATGGTACTACATAGCACTACTGTTTAAATGAAGAATTCTACTCTTCTAAAAATCTTTGCCACTGATGCCACATAAAAATACCGTATGGACTAGCTCTCAAAGCCAAAGCAGGAAAAATCGCCAAAGGGTAAAAATAGTTCTTGATATGATGATATGCTGCTAAAAAGCCACATGGTGTTTGGGTGCAGCATTTCACAGTCAAACAATCATAATTTCATGCCTAAAATGTGCATGTTATTTCAGGAAAATACAAAATCTGAGCATTGCACATTTGCTACAGAATGACCAGTGAGTGTTGCTATAATGATTTGTTTTTCTTTTACAAGTAACTATTTCGTTCGGAGCCTTTTCATGCCACATTGTCAAGGGCGGCCATGGGACTAAGGACAGGCCGAGGTTAGAGTAGGAAGAAAAAATTTTTTTGATGTATCTGGTCTTTCATTTGCTAAATTCCTATAATTTTACAGATTGGGTGCTGTGTAAAATAAGTTTATCTTGCCCCCCACCCCCAATGTTAAGTACAGAAGTTATAACATCAGAAGAAAAAAAATGAGCTTTTGTGGTCTCAATCTGCTGATAGGGGACACGTTTTCATGAGGTGATTTTATATTCTGCCCCAAAGAGCCCCACAGATCTTATGTGTCTGTAGTAAATATTCATGGGAGTAAAACTCTCTTCCTAAAGTTGGGGTAGATCTGAAAGGGTATAGTTGGTCTGAGACCGTGCTCTTTGCAATTTAGACATAGGAGCAACAATGTCAGCAACAATATTTCTTTATAATATTCACCATATCTTATTCAAGTCATGAGATGCCCCGCACGCAGACCACCGTGGGTGATGGCCAGCGAGGTGTGAGGACGAGCAGACTGTGGGGACACATGGGAAGCTAAAAGGCCTGGAAGTGCTTTGTGGAGGGGTGACAATGACCTACTTAGGAGAAAGAGGCGGCGCACAACTTATTTAATAAAAGCAGTTAGGTTGTAGAATTTAGGAAAATACAAATCATACCAGATCTAAAGGAAACCAAAACTAAAAGAGTTGAGAGTTCCTGGTAGACGATAAGATACATGATTAATCCTGGATTAGCCTATGGTAAATATAGTAATATCATGACTGTCAGAGTAATTGATACATTACAAATAGTGAAATGCTTATTGCGTGCCAGGCACTTTGAGAAAACCAGCTTATTGAATTCTCTACAAAATGCCATAGTTTTACTTTTTATTTTAAAGATGAGGAAACTGAAAAAGAGAACTTACTGAGACTGCAGGTGCAGGAACATAAATTGTGCATGAAAGAAAAGTCAAACTGGCATTAGAACTAGTGGAAAAGAATAACGGTTGGGTTAATGAAAGGAATCTCTGTTATAAAAAGGAAATTATGATAACACTCTAAAATAATTGAGTCATGTTCCTCTGTATACTTGCTATTTTCTCAACACTGTAGTATTTGCCATCACTTTAGAGCTGGAAGGATTCTTGAAGATCATCTAGCTTAGTGGATTTCAACCTTTTGTGGTACTTGACTTACCTGAAGGACAGCATTCCCAGGCCGAATGCCATTCTGAACAGAAGAAACTAGGAGCTGGAAAGATTAGCTCCAGACTTCTCAGATAGGTGACAGAAGAGGGAGGGCTCTAACTCAGCTCTGTTCTCAGCTCAGATGAATGCATATGTGTACAGGGAGGGGTGGGAAATGGAATGCCTCTAAGAACATACTGCCAAACTGAATACTGGCAATAC